GACTAATATATATATATATATATATATATATATTCTATATGTATATATTTGTTTTACAGAAAACAAAAATAAAAATATCGATATTACAATTATTTCTATATGCACATTTATTACGTTACTTCTACAAGCCATTACTTCTATAATCTATTATTTATCGTTATTAATACTATTAATAATACTATCGAATATTGCGATATATTCACATTACATGCATAAACGACTAATTATTTAAACGAACATGCATCGATCATTAAACTGTCACAAAGTTGATTATATAGAGTGTTCTAGACCTTTGACCGCAACATTTAGCCAACGCTTACAATTCGATGTCTTGGTTATTCGGCTGACTTGAGACTATTTAATTCTCAGTCCAAAAGAGCATCGATGATCTTATTTCTCTTCTGCAGTTTTAAAGATGTCTTTCCAGCTCTTTTTTACAGTATTTAAATCCAAATTGGCCTTTCGCTTCAACATCTTCTTATGCTGTTTTCCATGCTACGATACGACTTGTTAGTTTCAAAAGTTTTTTTGCATTTGCATAATTTAGTAAGGTTTGCGCCACGTGCAATGTAGATCACGCCCACTTTTTATTCATTTTTTATTCGCAATCATTGATTCTCGCGGAAGCACTTTATTCATGCAATAGAAACATATGTGTATATAGCACGTGAAGTTTAATTATAAAATGTTTATATAAAAGCAAAAAAAGAAGAAGTTATCGAATATATTAAAATATTTTCAGTTTATTTAAAGATTAACTTTCTTGTCTTAAAAAAATTTAAATATTCGAAATTAATTAGAAATTCTTAATTAGAAATTCTTCAATAAATAAGTAATCAATAAATAATACGCGAAGAAAATAATTTTTTGCATGAACGCGAAAGGATTTAATTGCTATCATGTTAAATTTGTTGTTTATAGCAAATAAATTTGCATATTTGACAAATATTTTGCATTTACAAATAATTTGCAAGTACAAAAAAAATAAATATTTGTTACACCTGGAAATAATTTGCGATCCTTATATTTACAAATGGAATTTACCGTTGTGACATAGGATTAGCGTTTATAACAAATTTTTTCTCTCTGTGTATGATTATATCATGCGTATAATCAATAAATGTAATATAAACAATATAATAAACAAAGAAAGTCTTATTTGATCAAAGCGAATATTGATATCTAATATTTTTTAATATTTTTTAATATCATTTTTTAATATTTAAAATCCGTTTTGATCGCATAAGACTTATCTTTGCTTACTTGTATTATTTTTATATCGGTCGATTTTCAACGGAAGTAGTGCGTTTACAAGGATATCGAATAAGACAGAGATTTCCAAGAATGTAATGGCACATTGATCGAATATCTGTAAATACATTCACGAATGCTAAACATGTGTTGATATTAATACCCTGGTGCTTTTGTATCAGGGTTGATCTCGTTTCCGTTTTTATGAGAATCGTCTTCGTAGATGCCCGAAAGCAAAAATCCAGCGGAATCATGACAAAATTATGAAATCTTTTGGCAACAAATAACTATTCACGAACGCGGAACACTTGTTAGAGTGAGGAATACTGTTTCGTTTCGAGCTTATACCGGAAGTCGATTTTAACCGAAGCTTACGAACCCGATTACATAGCAACCTTTACGTTCCTCGAAGAAACACCATAACAAAGTATAAAAATATAATCGAAGAATACTAGTAAAATTAGTATAGACCTTATACTTTTATAACAGTACCGTTTATTAATGAGAAAAGTTATTGTTTTACTTGTATAAATTATTTCCAAGTGAAGTAAATAAAAGTTTATTATAAGAATAAATATTTTTGTTTTATTTTTTCCAAATTTAAC